CGGGCGGAGGTGGGGCCGAAGCAAGGGCGGGGCCTGGGGGCGGAGCTGTCTGGTGGGCGGGGCTGCCGGCCCTGGGGTCTGAGCGAGCCGGAGAGGCCCGGGCCGGGTCTGCGGACTCCTAGAGGTTCAGGGCGCGAGCCCGGAGTTGGGCCTGGGAAGGGGGCAACGCTTTCCCGGTTCTGGGGGGTGGGGAGTGAGGGGAAGGGCAAAAGCAGCACAGGGAACAGCATGACAGGGGCCCGTGGCAGGCCGCATTTGGAAAGGCGAGGAGAGGGCAGTGGCCTCTGGCACGGCGCCAAAGGGCCTGGAGAGGCAGAAGGGCCGGGTCGCAAAGAGTCTGCCCCGCATAAGGAGCCGATACTGTGTCCAGGAGGCAGTGGGGAGCTCCGGAGAGCGAAGCGCCTTGGAGTGCCGGAGCCTGCAGGGCAAGAGAGGGTCTTCATCAGACCGGCGACGTCCCACTGGGATGCGGAGGGAAACGGTGATTCCTACTTCTACCTCGCCTCTTTTAGATGTGCGTTTGTTGTTCTTTGCTACAGAATCTGTCGCCCAGGCTGGAGTGCAGTGAGTGGCGTGATCTCGGTTCCCTGCAGCCTTGGCCTCCTGGGCTCCAGCGATGCCCCCTCCCCTCAGCCTCCCGAGTAGGTGGAACCACAGGCGCCTGCCACCACGCCCCGCCAATTTTTAAAAAATATTTTTTACTCGACATGGGGATCTCACTATGTTGCTCAGGCTGGTTTGAAACTCCTGGACTCAAACGATCCTCCTGTCCAGGCCTCCTGAAGTGCTGGGATTACATTCATGAGCCACTGCGCCCGCCCGGCCTAAGTGTTTTAATTTTTATGTTTTACAGTTGCTTCTAATTTGTTACAAATAAACGTTTAGCATGTGGCGTGGTGTTCATGTGTTTACCGGTGCAGTGCGCAATGAACCGGGTTCCAGGCACCAGATGTGGAGGCCCAAAGGCGGAAGCCCGGTGGCGCCGGCACGCAGCAGGAGACTGCCGGAGGCGCGGGCCGGGACCTGGGCTCCCAACCCTGTGGTCCTCCCGAGTCCAGGGTCCAGTCCCAGGGGCGCGTCTGGCCCTCTGCTGCTGTCTCCTTAGGGTTCTTTCATGGGGATCGGTTCTTCAGCCTTTCTTTCTCCCCAGAGAGGCTCTCGTGGCAGGAGGGAACGCGTACTTTCCGCAGCTGTACTTTGCACTCATGATGAAAAGCGTCACTTTTGCAGCATTCCAGATGCGTGGCCTTCGGTCTGCGGCAGGCGGCAGCGCGAGAGGCTTGGACAGGAGGTGCGTCTTGCTGAACGAACGAGGGCTCGGGCCTGGCGAGCCAGAGCCCAGCGCAAGCGAGAGGCGGGTAGCAGCGGCTTCTCGGCCGAGGAGACGCGAGCGGCGTCCTGCAGGAGGCGCTCGGCCCCAGGGAAGCCCTCGCTCGGGACCCGCGTGCTGCCACAGCCCCGGGGGCCTGGAGGGGCCCGTGCGCCGAGCGCAGGGCCCGGGACACGTGCGGGGCGCCGGGGGGAACGGCCGGAAACGCGCGTGGTGTCCCCACTGCGGGCCTCCGACGCCTCCTGCCACGTCCTGCAGGCGCCCGGGCCGGGTCCGCGGCTGTCGGCAGCCGGACCCCGGTGCGCAGGCGGCTCGACCTCGCCCTCCACGAGGCGGGGCTTCCTGGGCTGCAGGACGGACTCGGCCGGCGCCTGCGGGCGGCCGCAGAGCTGAAGGCGCAGGGCCGGGGCAGTCCGGCTCTCCCAGGCCGCCGAGCGCGCGGTCCTCCCACGGCCCAGAGCGTCGCCGGAAGTGCCGAGGGGGCGGGCCAGGGGTGGCGACAGCGGCGCTTCCGGCGCGTGGCGGGGCGGGGACGGTAGCGGGTGCAGCCCGGCCGCCCTGCAGGAGGCGGCCTCGACTTCTGTTGTTCGTGCTGGGCTCGGGAAGGCGGAGGGCGCGGCCGGGAGAACGGGACTCGCCCCGCCGCACAGGCCCGCGCGTCGCGCCCTCCCCTTGCAGCACAGGCCCCAGCCGCTCTCGGGCGCCGCGCGGGGGAGGCGGCCCTGCAGGGGCGTCCCCGGGGCGCCGACGCGTGCCCGGCTTCCTGCGAGCCGAGTCCCCCCCGCGCGTCTCCGGGCCTTTGTAAGTTGTCAAATTTCCCACCAGCCCAGCGGATCCAGCCTCTTCCCAGCTGTGAACAGGAGGGCCTGGTTCCTAATTCTTGCCGGTAAGGTGCTCCTACTTTCAAAAATCTGCTTTCAGACTTAAAAATTGCACTTTAAATTGCCTTTTTGTAAGAGGAGGCGTCTCCCTATGTCACCCAGGCTGGCCGTCTACACCTGGGCTCAAGCGATCCTCCCGCTCAGCCTCCCTGGAGGTGGGATTACAGGTGGCTTAAATTAAATTTACTAATTACTTTTTTATTTACTTTTTTTTTTTTTTTTTTTTAAACACAGGGCCTCCAACGCCCACCTGTAGTGCAGTGGCGCAATCTCAGTTCACCCCAACCTAGACCTGGGCTCAGGCAATCCTCCCACCTCAGCCTCCCTAGTAGCTGGGACTACAGATGCCTACCATCACGCCTGGCTAATTTTTTAATTTTTTTGTGTGTGGGGACGGGGGTCTCACTGTGTTGTCCAGGCTGGTCTGGAACTCCTGCACTCAGCCAGCCCTCCATCCTCAGCCTCCAAAGTGCTGGGATTACAGGCGTGAGCCACAGCGCCCAGCCAAATCACATTTCTTTCTTTTCTCTTTTTGAGAGTCTCGCTCTGCTGCCCAGGCTGGAGTGCAGTGGCGCGATCTCAGCTCAGTGCAACTGCCACCTCCCCCTCCCGGGTTGAAGCGATTCTTCTGCTTCAGCCTCCCGAGTAGCTGGGATTACAGGCGCGCCACCCTGCCCGGCTAATTTTTGTATTTATAGTAGAGACGGGGTTTCACCGTGTTGTTCAGCCTGGTCTCCAGCTGCAGACCTGGTGATCCGCCCGCCTCGGCCTCCAAAAGTGCTGGGATTACAAATGTGAGCCACCACCGCCGGCCAAATCACTTTTTTTTTTTTTTTTTTTTGAGACGGAGTCTCGCTCTTGTCACCCGGGCTAGAGTGCAGTGGCGCGATTTCGGCCCACTGCAACCTCCATTTCCCGGTTCAAGCGATTCTCCTGCCTCAGCCTTCCAAGTAGCTGGGTCTACAGGCACCCACCACCATGCCCAGCTAATTTTTGTATTTTTAGTAGAGAAAGGATTTCACCATATTGGCCAGGCTGGTCTCGAACTCCTGACCTGATCTGCCCGCCTCCGCCTCCCAAAGTGCTGGGATTACGGGCATGAGCCACTGCGCCAGGCCCAAATCGCATTTCTTTTTTTTTTTTTTTTTTGAGACGGAGTTTCACTCTTGTTACCCAGGCTGGAGTGCAATGGCGCGATCTCGGCTCACCGCAACCTCCGCCTCCCGGGTTCAGGCAATTCTCCTGCCTCAGCCTCCTGAGTCGCTGGGATTACAGGCACACGCCACCATGCCCAGCTAATTTTTTGTATTTTTAGTAGAGACGGGGTTTCACCATGTTGACCAGGATGGTCTTGATCTCTTGACCTCGTGATCCACCCGCCTCGGCCTCCCAAAGTGCTGGGATTACAGGCTTGAGCCACCGCGCCCGGCTCCAAATCGCATTTCTTAATTGCACTTGAGGTGGAACTTAAAAAATATATTGCCTACTTGTTCTTTGTGAGTTACCTGTCCATGATTGTTGCCATTTTCTTTCCTTTCTCAATAATATGTAGAGGTCTTTATCAGGTAGGGATGAATCTTTGCGTTGCATGTATTCCCCCTTTCTGGTTTTTGTTTTTTTACGTTAGATTTTTTTTATGTAGTTAAATTTGTCAGACATCTGATGTCACGCTTAGAAAAATCATTCCTCAGTCCAAAACTTTACCATTGATATAATTAATTCTTTTTTTTTTTTTTTTTGGTTTAACATTTTAATATTGAAATCCTCTTAACTATCAAGAAATTTAAAAACCCGTGGAAATTTCTCTAGGCATTTGAAGACTGTGTGAGGGTTGCGGGCTTGCTAGGCAAGGAGCTAGGAAGCTGTGGCCACGCCCACCTGTGCTCTGCCTCAGCCCTGGGTCTGGGGGGACTGGCAGAGCGTGGACCAGAGTTCCTGGGCCTCCCGCAGAACACCCGCTTCTGGGAGTGTCTGGTGAGCCAGGACCTTGATTGCTAGTGACAGGGGTGGCCCCAGCTGGGTGATGCAGCTACCATAGGGCCTGTTCTGACCTCACTGCCCCTCGCCCCTGTACCTAGCCCTGGCTGTGATTTATTTTTCTTTTACCTAGGCAGAAATTGTTCTCACTGCTGGTGTTCTGCAAGGTGGAGCCCACAGGTGCCAAGGGGAGCAGAACCCTGATGGAGGCCACTGCAGGTGAGGGGACATGTCCACAGTCGGGCCCAGGGTCCCTGGGCAGAAATTGAACAGGAATACAGGAAAAACACCAGGTCTCGGTCACTGATTCAGAGCATGTACCGTGTCCTTGGGCGCAAGGTCAGAGAGGGAGGTAAACGCAGGCCCGTCAGCTCTCCTGGGCATCCATTTGGTGACTGTCTTTGCCAGTGGACTGATGCTTTTGGTTAGAAAGTGGCCACCCCAGGCGCGCCTCTGGGAAGGTCTCTCGGTGCTTCTCAGCCTTGGCCTTGTGGCCATTTGGGATGGACAAGTCTTTGTGGAGGGGCTGTCCCGTGCCTCGTAGGAGGCTCAGCAGCATCCTCGCCTCTGCCCACTTGGTGTCAGTAAAACATCTACACGTTGTCACGTGTGCGCTTGGGACAGAAACCCCCGTGAGAACACTGCTTTACGTTTTGGGCCTGTGCGGCCATCCTGAGTATGTCACAGTGATGAGGCGGGGGCAGCACAGGCCCTGCTGTGGGGGCCGGGATCGGCTGTTGGGAAGGATCCTTAGGCCTGCAGGCTGGATCCAGTGGCGCTCTCCTGTGTATGTGGCCCCTTCTTGTTAGAGTTTTGGTTCTTTTTCCTCCTAAGCAATACCTTTGAGTCAGTTCTTGAACTTCCAAGTCTGCAAACCACAAGACCAAGGCTGGGCCTCTGGCAAGGGGATTCTGTTTAGTGCACCACACTCAGCCTCTCCTGCCCCAGCTGCTCAGTGTCGTGGGCCTGCCAGGGCAGAGAGGTGGGGACCGTCAACAGCAGCCTGCTCTCATCTGCCCAGGAACATCCCTGCCCCAGCCCCATGGGAGTTTCTGTCAAATCTGCACCCTCCGCGTTCTCCAGAGGTGTAGCTGGGACTCAGCCTCTTGTCCTCCGCTGCCACAGCTGACTGCCTGCAGGCGGAGAAGCCCCGCTCAGTTGCTGCGCGGGCCTCGGAGGCCCCCATCCTCCCACTGCTGCTCCTGGCTGAGCCCTCCTGCCTCCTACGCAGGCCGAGGTCAGTCACCAGCTTTCTCATGTTCCAGGGTTTTGCCGCTACTCTTAAGGCTTTTGTCTAAATGGCCACATGGTATGTTCCTGTGAGCCAGTGGAACCAAGTCCAACTAGTGGCTTCACTGCCTGACAGCAAGGGCCATTGCCACGTACCCGGGGCGGGCTGCTCAGCTCAGCCAGCGCCACCGCCCAGCCCTCATGGGTTGCTGCTTCCAGCCCTTGGTACGGATTTGTCTGCGTGAGGACGCTCCTATTTGCACGTAACAGTTTGGTGTTTGGGGGGAGTTGTTCAGGAGGCCGTGTTGTCTCAGGGAGTCCAAGGGAACGAGCTGGGGCCATGGCTGGGTGCGGTGGCTCACGGCTGCAATCCCAGCACTTCAGGAGCCCAGGAGGTCAAGACCAGCCTGGGCAAAACAGACAGCACCTCTACAAAAATTGTTAAAAACAGTCTGGCATGGTGGTGCCCACCTGCAGTCCCACCTACTTGGGAGGCTGCAGTGAGCTGTGATGGCACCACTGCCCTCCAGCCTGGGTGATAAAGCAAGACCTTGTCTCACAAAAAAGGAAGGACATGTAAGGCAGAGCTGGGCCATGGACTGTGTTGGGCACCATTGTCCCGGAGCCTCCTGCATCTGCCTTCCCCCTGCCCTGGCTCAGTGCTAGCCGTCTCTACCCTCCTTTGCCTTCCCAGCTGCCCTGCAGAGTAAAACAGTGCCCAGAGCCTACGTTTCTGTCACCTCCCCTCCCAGGACTGGGTGGGCTGAGGCTAGAGGTTTAGAGCGTTTGTTTGTATATTTTTTAAATTTAATTTAAAAGACAGGATTTTACTACGTTGGCCAGGCTGGTCTTGAACTCCTGGTCTCAAGTGGTCCTCCCGCCTCAGCCTCCCAAAGTGTGGGGATTACAGGTAGGAGCCACCCCCCGGCCCCACAGCCCTGTTTCTGGAGTGGCAGTGCGGGACTCTTACCCACCTTGTAACTACAGGGGTTGAGAAAGTAGGCGGGAACTGAATGGGCAAAATCAAGTGTCTGTGGCACTCTGACGTCAGTCATTGCGTTGCCGTCATACCACAACGGCCAGAGCCAGCCTGGACTCAGCGTTCTCTTGCATCTACAGTCACTCCTCCTGTCTGGCCTCTTTTTCAGCTGTGAAGGCCGCTTTCCTGGCGCAGGCCCCGAGTGGCAGCCGGCCAGCGGAGGAGCAGGCAGCTCGGAGCACAGGTCCTGCACCACAGCCCGGCGCCCCCAAGGGAGAGGGCCACAGAGGGGGGCCTCCCTGGGCGCCGGGGTCTCTTGGCCTTTGTGAAAATGAGGAAGCTGGAGAACGGCCCCGAGGTTCCCCTCGAGGTCCGGTCATTTCTGAGAAAACCGCAGGACCGAGTGGCGGCGAGTCAGGCCCCGGGGCAGGGGGAAGGCGTGGCTGGAAGGGGCGGCCCTTCCCGTGCAGCGCCTGCGGCCTCAGCTTCAAGTGCCCCTCCGACGCAGCGAAGCACCGCAGCATCCACTCGGGGGAGAAGCCGTACGCGTGCAGTGACTGCGGCAAGGCCTTCATCCACAGCTCGCACGTGGTCCGGCACCAGCGCGCGCACAGCGGGGAGAGGCCCTACGCGTGCGGCGAGTGCGGCAAGGCCTTCAGCCAGAGCTTCAACCTGCTCCGCCACCAGCGCGTGCACACGGGCGAGAAGCCCTACGCCTGCCAGGACTGCGGCAAGGCCTTCGGCCAGAGGTCGGACGCCGCCAAGCACCGCCGCACCCACACCGGGGAGAGGCTGTACGCGTGCGGCGAGTGCGGGAAGCGCTTCCTGCACAGCTCCAACGTGGTGCGGCACCGGCGGACCCACCACGGGGAGAACCCGTACGAGTGCCGGGAGTGCGGCCAGGCCTTCAGCCAGAGCTCCAACCTCCTGCAGCACCAGCGCGTGCACACGGGCGAGCGGCCCTTCGCCTGCCAGGACTGCGGCCGCGCCTTCAGCCGCAGCTCCTTCCTGCGCGAGCACCGCCGCATCCACACCGGCGAGAAGCCCCACGAGTGCGGCCACTGCGGGCGCGCGTTCCGGGCGCTGTCGGGCTTCTTCCGGCACCAGCGGCTCCACACGGGCGAGAAGCCGTTTCGCTGCACTGAGTGCGGCCGCGCCTTCCGCCTGAGCTTCCACCTCATCCAGCACCGGCGGGTGCACGGCGCCGAGTGAGCCGGGGTGCGCGGTGACCAAGTGGCAGAGCCGGCTGCCCGCCTGCCTCTCGGGCTGCGAAAGCCTCGCCGGGGTGCATCCACCTTGGCTCGGGGAAGGGGAGGCGCTTCCCCGCGGCAGGGCAGGCCCCAGGGGTCTGTACCGGGCCTGCCACCGCCCGCTGCCGAGACGCCCTCCCTCCCAGGGTCAGCTGCAGCGACTGTCTCATTTCCTGCGGAGGGCACTGGCCGGTGATTGAATCGGTCATTCCTACAGCCAGGCCTCCAGCAAAACCCTGCATGGGGCTCGAGCTTTGGGTTGGTGAAGGTGGGGGGTGGTTAGGCAGGGGGCGCCCAGCGAGGGCGTGGAAGCCTTGTGCCCTCCCCTGTGCTTTGCCCGTGAGCGGTTCATCCATGTCTTTTCAGTCAGCTGGTCCATATGGTCCCGAGATGTGTGTGCTTAGAAAAGTATGGAACCTAGCCCGACGCGGTGGCTCCCGCCTGTAATCCCAGCACTCTGGGAGACCGAGGCGGTGGATCACAAGGTCAAGAGATCGAAACCAGCCTGGCCAACATGGTGAAACCCCTTCTCTACTAAAAATACAAAAATTAGCCGGGCACGGTGGTGTGCACCTGTAGTCCCAGCTATTTGGGAGAATCGTTTGAACCCAGGAGGCAGAGGTTGCTGTGAGCCGAGATTGCACCACTGCACTCCAGCCTGGCTCAGAGCAAGATTCTGTCTCAAGAAAAGAAGTATATATGGAACGTGAGAAGGGGGATGTGGGGACCCCGGGGCCCACCGTCTGCACTTGGCCTCTGAAGTGGGCTGGTCTTGTGGGACTGACCCCTTACCCTGTGGGTCTGTACTAACGGCCGGCAATCCGTTTCAGAATCGAGTTACATTGTAGGACATCCCGCTGGTGTCAGAGGTGGAGAGCTGCTTGGTGTCGGGGGAAAGGCTCTCACACACGTCATGTCAGGAGCATTCTGCGGGTAGAAGAATCGTTTTCTCTTTGAATAGTGTTATGGGTATGTACAAATGTTATTTCCGGTAAAAGAGTTTTGATTTTTTAAAATGTCATTTCCCAGATAGAAAAGAATTGTCCCTTTGGGGAACATTTTTGGGGGCGTATAGTAAAGCTCTGCCTTCATGAATTAAGCAAAGAGGTGGCTTTAAGTTTCTTGGGATGACTGAGGGAAATGTGAGCCGCCCACTGGCCCAGAGGCCTGGGGCGTAGCTACAGAGATTCCCCTGCAAGGCACAGGGGAGGGCAAAAGACTTCCATGCCCTCTCTGGGCACCCCCTTCCTAAATGTCCCCGTCTGGCTGTGGCTTGGAACTACCTCCTGCAGTTCTCTGCTCCAGGTAAGGATTGACTGGGAAGAATTCTGGGCCTGTCGCTGATTTCCAAGACAGTCACATTGTTTCCACCGCTCTTGTTGGCACCGATTTTGTTAGAATGCATTAACTTAGGGTTGTGAATCCTGTAGGGGCAGATTTGGTGGCCCCGCAGTTAATTAATCTCCTGACTCCTGGGCCAGTGGTGAGGTGGGAAGATGAGCCCGTGTCTCCCATGGCTGAGCCAAGACCCTCAGGTCAGCTGAAGGTGACCTTCCAGGTACCCATAGAGGTCAAAGCACCTGCCCTCCGAAGGAACTTGCCCTGCTTAGCCTCATCCCGGCTCATAAATCAGGCATTCAGTTTGCAAAGATCCCCAAGCACAAGGAGTGTCAGCTGACTGAGGGCCAGCAGAAACAGCAGGCAGCTGACAGCAGCCACAAGAACTCAGATCCTGAAACCCACCGTACAGGTGAGAGATAGTTATGTACGAGGTGTTTAGAGAAGTCACAGAGCCACAGTGATGAGAAAGCTGGAGGATACACACACTCATGCACAAATAGGCAAGCCTTCTTAAAGAACTTTTGGGACACTTGGAGGCCTAGGAGGGAGGATCACTTGAGCCCAGGAGTTCAAGACCAGCTTAGGCAACATAGGGCTGGGTGCAGTGGCTCACGCCTGTAATCCCAGCACCGTGGGAGGCTGAGACAGGCGGATCACCTGAGGTCAGGAGTTCGAGACCAGCCTAGCCAACACGGTGAAATCCTGTCTCTACTAAAAATAAAAAATTAGCCAGTTGTGGTGGTACATGCCTATAATCCCAGCTACTCAGGAGGCTGAGGCAGGAGAATGGCTTAAACCCAGGAGACGGAGGTTACAGTGAGTCAAGTCGAGATCGTGCCACTGCACTCCAGCCTCCTGGGCGACAGAGTGAGACTCCATCTCAAAAAAAAAAAAAGGTAAAGGTTAGGAGGAATCTGACCTAGAGTCGCACACATGAAGACAGGAGGGAGGCAGAGCCAACCAAGAGAAGGAAAGTCAAGCTCAGGTCCTGGGAGGTGAGAGGCGGTCGTGTGCCGTGCAAAGCCCAGAATAATGTTTTAAACAGGCAACTCAAAAATACTGGGCCAGGGGAGGTGGCTCACGCCTGTAATCCTGTAATCCCAACACTGGGAGGCCGAGGTGGGCAGATCACTTGCAGTCAGGAGTTACAGACCAGTCTGGTGAAGATGGCAAAACTCCATCTCTATTAATGATACAAAAATTAGCTGCATTACCTGGCACGCACCTGTAGTCCCAGCTACTTGGGAGGCTGAGGCACGAGAATTGGTTGAACCCGGGAGGCGGAGGTTGCAGTGAGCCAAGATCACGCCACTGGACTCCAGCCTGGGCGTCACTCAGTGAGACTCCACTTCCAAAAAATTAAAAAATGATATATTGGAAATGGAAACATGATAGGCAAAATTAGCAAGAAGGCGGAAAGCGGGGATATCTTTCTGAAAGAACGAAAAGGCAAAGAAGGTGGGTGGTGAGCTAGAAAGGTTAAGACCAACGGGAATTCCAAGGGGCGAAAAACAAAATCGGCAAATGGTGGGAATGAAATTGTTAGAGAAACACGAGTCTCCAGAGTGAAAGCACCTGCCAGCGTCCTGCACAAAGATGCTAATGAGACAGCACATGTCTTTCTCACAGCAGGTGTGCGTGTCACACCCCCAGCCGTCCCCACTAGGAGTGCGCAGCTCGTGCTGCATACAGGGCAGAGCAGGGGCGACGGCCGCAACTGCAGTGTGGCCCACTCGTGGCTGTGTGACCTTGGGCCGGTTACTTAACCTTTCTGTACCTCAGTTTCCTCATCTGAAAAATGGACGTAGCAGTACCTATGTCATAGAGGACTGACCAAAAGCAGTGCCAGACACACAGCAAACACCTCACTGCAGCTGCTCCCAGTACCCTGGGACCCACAGCTCAAAGCTGCCGATGCTCCTGGCAACCTGCAGCAGGCAGGCAAAGGCCTGCACTGGTCTACACAGCATTCCCACCCTCCTCCACCAGGGACACGGAGGGCAGGCAGGCCAGCACTGGTCTACACAGCATTCCCTTGGGGACACGGAGGGGAGGCAGGCCTGGGTTGGTCTACACAGCATTCCCCCTGGGGACACGGAGGGGAGGTGTGCCTGGGTTGGTCTACACAGCATTC